GTCTAGCTTCAGCACCTTGCAGAAGTGGCAGGTGGGAGAAGAGCCACTGTGCAGTGCCTCTGATACGATTACGCTTTCCCAATGAGTTATTGCTAGGTTAAAGGGCTGTGATAGTGCCAATATCCAAAGCTGGGTTATTGTGTTATTTATGCGCTGTTGTCACTGGATATTAGCTCTATGATCAATCCCAGTGACAGAGGCTGCTTAGCCTGTCACACTTTGTTTTATCTTCCATCCTTACTACCTCAAAATTGCTAATCCAATGTCTCTATAACCAATTTAGGGGAGATCAAACCCTGCTGTTACAGAGTGGTATGAAAGCAGGTTCTTGGTCTCCAACATTGCACAGAAGATGAAGTCTTCAGGCTTTGGAGCTAAGCTGCCGCCGCCTGTTGTCTGTCTGTCCATCTATTAGCAAAACACCCATCATTAGGATTGTGTGTGTGTGTAGCAAGAGTGGTTCCTGCCTCTAGATCCCTGTGAGGGAGATCCCTGTATAGGGACAAAAGGCAGAACAAGAATGGTAAACGTTCACTTGAATAGGGGAACGCAAAGAGATACATTAAGACAAATCATTGGAGTGGAGGCTAAACCTCCTTGCTACTCAGTCACTGAGAATTAAGCTTTTTCTATCCATATAGTTCTATTCTGGATTCTTCATGGCATAGAATCATAGAATTGTAGAGTTGGAAGGGATCCCAGGGGTCATCTAGTCCAACCCCCGGCAATGCAGGAATCTCAGCTCAAGCATGCCTGACAGATGGTCACCCAACCTCTGCTTAAAAACCTCCAAGGGAGAAGAGTCCACAACATCCCAAGGGAGACCATTCCACTGTCGGACAGCTCTTAATGTCAGAAAGTTCTTCCTGATGTTTAGTTGGAATCTCCTTTCTTGTAACTTGAAGCCATTGGTTCAAGTCCTACCCTCCAGAGCAGGAGACAACAAGCTTGCTCCCTCTTCCATGTGACAACCCTTGAGATACTTGAAGGTGGCTATCATATCTCCTCTCTGCCTCCTCTTTTCCAGGCTAAACATACCCAGCTCCTCCAACCGTTCCTCATGTGGCTTGCTCTCCAGACCCTTGATCATCTTGGTTGCCCTTATCTGCACAAGTTTAAGCTTGTCAACATCGTTTTTATGTTGTGGTGTCCAAAATTGGACACAGGACTCCCAAGCGTGGTCTGACCAAGGCAGAATAGAGTGGTACTATTACTTCCCTTGATCTGGACACTAGACATCTGTTGATGCAGTCTAGAATAGCATTAGCCTTCCCCCCCCCCCCCGCTACTGCATCACACTGTGGACTCATGTTAAGCTTGTGTTCCACCAAGACCCCTAGATCCCTTTCACATGTACTGCTAGTGGGCCAGGCGTCCCCCATCTTCTATTTGTGCACCTGGTTCTTCCTGCCCAATTCTGTCTTCTGCGGCATTAGCTACCCCTCCCAGTTTGGTGTCATCTGCAGATTTGATTAGCACCCCCTCCATTCCTTCCTCCAAGTCGTTTGGAGGAGTCCAAATCAATTAATTTCATAAAATTTCTCTACCGCTGGATTATAAAGCAACCACCACCTTCAAAGTAGTTTACAAAATGGGAGATATTTCCTATGACTTGTTGCTAGGAGCGAGACTTTACCCTTAGACCTCCTCATCCCCATTTCTTTCCGTTTCTGCCCAGTGTGTTCTGTCAATAAACAGCTTTCCTTAGGTTGCAAGGAAGTGAAATGTTATGAGTTTGTGGGTGCCAGACTCCCCTGTGTCATGAGTTTCTGGGTGCCAGGCATTGAACCCCTGGACACTGAACATCTGGGGAGTTGATCTAAGCCTTGTTTAGAATAGATGTACCCCAAGCTCTACATTTGATTATTGGCTATTAAAAACTAGTTGAAACCATTTTATTTCATTCACAAAAGAATTGGACCGGTACTATTACTTCCACTGATCTGGACATTATACTTCTGTTGATGCAGCCTAGAATAGCATTAGCTTTTTTTGCTGCTGCATCACACCATTGACCCATTTTAAGCTTGTGGTCCACCAAGACCCTTAGATCCTTTTCACTTTTACTGCTAGTAAGCCAGCTGTCCCCCATCCTATATTTGTGAATCTGGTTCTTCCTGCCTAAATGCAAAACCTTACATTTGTCCCTATTGAAATTCATTTTGTTAGCCCGTGCTCAATTCTCCAATCTGTTAGGCTCATTTTGAATTCTGATTCTGTCTTCTGCAGCAATAGATACCCCTCCCAGTTTGGTGTCATCTGAAAATTTGATGATCAACTCCTTCATTCGAGTCATTTATAAGAACATTGAAGAGCAATGGGCCCAGGACCCCACTTGTGGCTTTTTTCCTGGAGGACAAAAATGTCCAGGAGGACATTACTTTTTATTATGATTTTCAGTTTTATACATTTTGATAACTTTACAATCATTTTAACATTTCAAAATTCAACTTCCGCCCCCCTCTGTCACTTAATATAATATATATATATTTCTGCATATCCAAATTAACTTAATTTGCTCATTTATTCATCTACTTTAAATATACTCTTATAAAACTGCAGGTTATCACAATGTTCTTATCTGTTTATAGTTTATTTGTAAATATTCAAGAAACCATTTCCATTCTTTTGTAAGCAGTTTCTAAGCGGTGGGTTTCGCCATTTCTGCATATTCCATAAGATTTGGTATCCATTCTGGGACTTCTTCTTTCCTTTATTGGACAAGTAACCCAGGGGACCACACTGGAGACTCATGGTATTTTTAAAATACTGTAAATTCCGGCATATAAGGCGACTTTTTAACCCCGACAAAGAGGCTTAAAAGTTGGGGGTCGCCTTATACGCCGGATATCCACCCCCTGCTGCTGCAGCGGCTCCAAAGCAGCCGCAGTGGCAGCAGGCTCCGCTCCTGGCGTGGAGCCTGCCCACTGCTACTTCGGAAGCAGCAACAGGGGCGGCGGGCTGCACTCCGCTCTGGACTGCTTTCTCCCGGCACGGAGCTCACCCCCGGCTGCTTCTGAAGCAGCGGGCAGCTGGCTCAGCTCCGTGCTGGGCAGCCTTCTCCTGGCGCGGAGCTGCCCAGCGTATTAGGCGCCTGGGCTTATAAGACGAACCCCCAAATTGCAACTGCCAATTTGGGGGGGTCGTCTAATACGCCCAGGCGCCTAATACGCCGGAATCTATGGTATATATCTATTTATTTATATAACTGGGGGAACTGGGTCTTGGTGGGAGGAGAGCTGTATTGGAGCTGCGGGACTCACTGCTGTCGCTGTCTGGAAGAGAAAAGACGAGAAACCCAGAAAGATGGGTTATCAACATAATAATAAATGAAAATATTGAGAATCATTTTCATTTATTATTATGTTGATAACCCATCTTTCTGCAACGATCTCAAGGTGGCTTACATTAGCCTACCTTTCTTCCTTCCTCATTCCATCTCTGAACTCTTCTTGAATCAGGGAGCTGCCCCCCACCCCACCGCAGGCAGATTCTCTCTGGCCTCCCTGTTCCTCATGAACAAAGATCAACACTCTCCATCCATATTGGCATCGGTGGCATTCATTCACTGGTCGTAGTCGTACGTATATGGTTCTTATCTTCGTTAACTCCTCCTTCTCATTTTTAATTACATTTACTTCGTCATCCCATTGATGTGGCAATATTTCTACTTCCTCCTTCTCACAGACCAGGGGATGGATCTTTGGCATGTGACAGAAGGAGACCAGCAGCCCATGCAGCCTTTGAAACCTAGGGAAGAAGCGGGAAAATAATCAGGAAATGGGTTCTAGTGACTTCCTTGATACTCTATATCTCTGTGCTGAATTTGGAGCACCTGGCAACTAAACCTACTTTCAGAAACCTTTCTTGGAGAGTACAGCAAGCAGTTGAACCCACGGAGGAGGGCATCTTGTCAAAGGACCCGCCAAAATTGGGAGATGCTCTTCTTGTGATGATGCCCACAAGGGGGAAGGCAAGCCATTTCCCTCAAAGCATCTAAGATGGCCCTGAGGACAATCTTCAAAAATAAATCTAACCATGACCTGATTCCCTATGTTGCTAAATCTTAAGGGGTAGCAAAAGAAGCAGACTGTAGAAAGAAGAAGAGCTCCGACTTACAGGCGAGATGAAGAAATTTTCATTTTTCAGAAGACACAGTTCATGTAAACAACCTCTTTTCTTTGAACTATCCTCAAATAGTTGCTCTTCCCAAATTCTCAGCCAAGTCACTCAGCAGGTGGACATGTCACAATGGAGGACATGACCCTGTTACTGTAGCTATCATACTTAACCATTGGCATTGTTCCCCTTAACATGCATTTTTCAAATATATCTTTCAGTGGGTTAAGCAGTTTTATTCAATTTATTTAGAAAAGATCGAGAGCTGGCTTTACACATGCATTTCTCCTCTCTGTTTTCTGTGCTTTTCCTACTTTCTTGCGCTGTAAACCACCCCCTGCCAAGTTTGGGTGAAGGGTGGTGCTGTATAAATTGAATAAGCCACATAATCATAATAATTCATCTCTCTCTTCCAGAAAGCTCCTGCCCAGGCACTTTAAGGAGCAAGGCGCAGCAGCCGCACCCCATTCGTCCAGGTTTTCCCCGTCAAAAACGCGTGTTTTTTGCAGAATCAATGGGGTGTTTTTTGCGGACTCAACAAAACCTGGACGTATGACAAGGGGGTTTATTTTCTTTTTTCTTTTGAAAATAACCCTTTAAAAATCAGAAAAGGCCCCCAAACTTCTTCTTTTTTTCTTTTTTCCTTGGGTGAGCTGTTCCCCCCCAAAAATCTCAACATATCTGTCCGGATTTCCACTTGAGGGAATACGGCAAAGCACGAGGATAAGCCTCCTTGTCGCGCGCAGGCGCACTCGCGTCCTGAAACCGTTGGTCGAGAGCACGCAACGAACCGCGCGCCCGGCTCCAGTGCGCACGCGCAAGCTCCTTCCGTTATTTCCGCTCCCTCCCGCTTCGGCCTCTCAGAGGAAGGGGCGGGGCATCCGGAGCTGGACGTAGACCCCCGGAAGCCAGCCGCTGGTGGCGCGAGCCTGACGCAAGCCGGGCGCTCTGGCGGGGACGGCGAGGCCCCCTCTCTATGGTCGCCGGGACGATGCTGTGGCGGCTGCTGTGGAGCCTCGGCCGGGGAGGTGCGTCGCGTCTCGGGGCGGAGGGCGGGCGCGGCGGGGGCCTCTCGCCCCTCTCCTCACCTCTGTCTCTTTCTCTCCCGTGCGCAGTGAGGCTCCCCGGAGGAGGAGGAGGAGGAGGCGGCACAGTCGCCCTCTGCCGCCACCGGCCTGTGGGCCCGGCCCGGCCCTGTGACGGAGACCCCTCGCCGACCGAGGACAGGTGAGGCGCCGAGACCCCGCCGCACCTGCAGCCGCGCTCTCCCTGGGGGGGAGGGGCTGTCATTGCCATTATCACCGTTATTTATTGGGGCTTGTGAGCCGCTTCGTCTTGCCCGCAAGCAGAGGCAGGAAAAATAAAGCCTCAAGCAGGGCTGACAGGAAGAAGAAAAGGGCGAAGGGCAGCCCAGGGAAACGGGGGCGCCAGGTGAGCCTCCCTGGGTTACCTGCGCAGGTGTAAACGACACCCCCCCCAAAGGCCTTGAAAAGTTGCTGGATCAGCTTCGTCCCTTACGTTAATTCAACGAGAAGAACTTGTAATTGGATTTCAATTAAACATGCAATTAATTGGTCGCTCTTTTGGAATTTTATTGGGTTTCTTAGCGGGCCATGCAAACCACAGGGGCTCCCAAAAAGTTTGGGAAACAGCCAATAAACCTTTGGCTGTTACACAGAGACTTCAGATAGAGAGCAGCATCAGAAACACAGCAGGCATGGCTGTGTGGAAAGAAGTGAAGTGCTGTGTGGGTGGATTTTGAAAAGGCAGTGAAAGCAGAAAAATAACGAGATCTATCCTTGCTTGCAATCTGAAACATGTTTTGGGTTGGATCGCTTGTGGGAATCTAAAACAATCACTGACAGAAAGAGAACCACTTTCCTGTATAGTCAGGTACTATATCAGTGGGGCAAAAGGAGAAATAAACAACAGCGACAATTTTCTTTTTATTTCCCCAACAAAATATATATACACACACACACACATATATATATATATATATATATATATATTTGCTTTCGTAGATTTTCACGGGTACAGGAATGCAGGTTTTGGTGTCCTCGGGTGTCTTCCCGTGTAAAAGTTGGGGTGTCTAGGCGACGTTTCGACGAGGTCTCACTCGTCATCTTCAGGCTGGTGCTTTCGGCTTCTTGTTACTGGAACAGAGCAGGATCTCAGTGTTTGAGTTCCTATAAATACTGTTGAGGGGGTGTGGTGTATAGCCTCCAATGTTCTGGGCAGAGAGGAAGTTCCCAGGCTAGTGTGCCTTTTCTTCTTTTGTTCCTTAATTACTTGAGGGATATCTTGAGTGATTTCTTGAGTGATATCCTGAGTACCACTTAGGTGGGTCATTAGGTGTGGATTAGTTGCTAAAGCCTTCGTGTCTTGACCTCTTGAACTTTGTGAAGAGTTTTTCTGAGAAGATGGCTGTACTGCACTTAGTTGTGCTCTGGCTTGGCTTCGTGTATAGGGGCGAGCTGTGGTTTTGTGTCCTGTGCCAGCCAGATCTGTGTAGGGATTGCAGGGGGGTGCAGCATCCGGAGGTGCCACCATGGTTTGGCTACTGGATGGTGTCTGTAATTTATCTGTGGAGAGGGTCTGGGTTTGGGTCTGGTGTGGTTGATTGGTGATGGCGTTCTGTGTGCCTCTGGATCTGGTGTCGGTTTTTGTGGGGAGGGCTAATTTCCAGATGTCTGGCAGGCGGGATGTGTCGTCACGCTTGTTCATGTTGTGAGGGTGTTTCTCTATCTCGAAGAGAATAATCATGGAAGCCATCGAGATAGAGAAACACCCTCACAACATGAACAAGCGTGACGACACATCCCGCCTGCCAGACATCTGGAAATTAGCCCTCCCCACAAAAACCGACACCAGATCCAGAGGCACACAGAACGCCATCACCAATCAACCACACCAGACCCAAACCCAGACCCTCTCCACAGATAAATTACAGACACCATCCAGTAGCCAAACCATGGTGGCACCTCCGGATGCTGCACCCCCCTGCAATCCCTACACAGATCTGGCTGGCACAGGACACAAAACCACAGCTCGCCCCTATACACGAAGCCAAGCCAGAGCACAACTAAGTGCAGTACAGCCATCTTCTCAGAAAAACTCTTCACAAAGTTCAAGAGGTCAAGACACGAAGGCTTTAGCAACTAATCCACACCTAATGACCCACCTAAGTGGTACTCAGGATATCACTCAAGAAATCACTCAAGATATCCCTCAAGTAATTAAGGAACAAAAGAAGAAAAGGCACACTAGCCTGGGAACTTCCTCTCTGCCCAGAACATTGGAGGCTATACACCACACCCCCTCAACAGTATTTATAGGAACTCAAACACTGAGATCCTGCTCTGTTCCAGTAACAAGAAGCCGAAAGCACCAGCCTGAAGATGACGAGTGAGACCTCGTCGAAACGTCGCCTAGACACCCCAACTTTTACACGGGAAGACACCCGAGGACACCAAAACCTGCATATATATATATATATATATATATATATATATATCAATATTAAAACAAAAACCTTCTGAAATTGGACCTACATAACTGGCAATCATTTATTACTGTACAGTAACCATTCATGGCTGAAATAAAGTTATAAGGCATGAATTTTGTGCTTTATAACTTTAGACTACATTTGGATTGGTAAGAACAATTGTTACTATTCTAAGTGCAAAAGAAATGATGGAAATCCATACAGTGGTATCTTGGTTTGCATATGTCTTGGTTTGCATACATTTTGGATTACAAACACGTCAAACCCGGAAGTGCATGTCCTGGTTCGCAATCTTTTTTTGGATTACAACCCTTTTTTTTTATTATTATGAACAAATTTTTTGGGGAGGTCTCATTGTTGAAAGCGCTCCTTGAGTTAAAACCTGTTTTGGTTTACAAACAGACCTCCAGAACGGATTATGGTTGTAAACCAAGGTACCACTGTATTTTTGCAAATTTTCTTTTTAAATGGTATCACAGCTGTGGCCTTAATAAAAACAAATTGGCTAGAAATGATGGCATAGAATTGTGATTTGCTATAGTGAGGATAATAATAAGAAATGTATAATTTTCGTTCGTTCGTTCGTTGGTTCATTCGTTGAAGGAGACCTAGCTGACCAAGATTGACCCACAGGCCAGAAGTTTCTCACCCCTGGCCTAAACTGACACCTCACAGCAAGCCCAGAATCTGGGCAAAACTAGGCCATAAGGCAGAAATGGGACTCTCCCCACACCACACTCCCTGGCTAGAATGTGTCCTTGGATTTTGATCATGCTTCTTGGATGGAGGATAGAGAGGGATGTCTGAGTGTATGTAAATACAAGTCTACTATACAACCTTAAAGTTAAAGTTTGTTGCTCTAATTTTGCACTGGTATTCCCCCCCCCCGAATGCTAGCTTAAAAAGAATTCATTTCTCAGTCTGAAAACAGGTTCTCCATCCCAGCCCTAACCTTGGCTCTTTTCAGCATTAGTTCTGTCCTGCGATATTCAAGATGGGTGGCAGCTCAAGCAGTTGTCCAGAAGAAGAGTTCTTGTTTGCCTGAGGCTACATTCTTTAAAGCAGATTTCCAGTGTGCTTAAAGGGAAATATGTGCAATTTATATTCTCAGCATGTGATTGTAATGATCAAAGCCATTTTTTCTCTGGAACAAGACTTTCAAGCTCATGCTCATTTTTCAGAGCTCATTGGCTTTGGTTGCAAAACTGTACAAATAAAGGGCTTTAGAAACTGCAAAGTTTATTGACCCTGGGGTTCTTTTTGTGGGGTGTGGAGCGGGGAAACCTTAGCTATTTCAGAGGGAGGACTTTTCACATGAGGGCTCTTCAACAGAGCGTTTGCTACCTTCACCTTAGTGTAGCCAAATTTTGGCAACTGTAAAGTGATCAGGAAATATTGCTCACTGCAGACACATAGATTATCAATATAGCTTTGGCAAGGATTGTGTTATTTTAATATCTTTGGAAGTCTTATGGAAATAAAGCTTTGAGTTTCTTGTCGCCTGTGCTTTTATGACTTCTGGTCTGCCCAGCTCCACATTACAGGTGTTTCAAAGATGAATTTTGGGCATGGTTATAGTTAAGGGTGGGTTGGGGGAGCTACCGATAATATGCCTTGGAAGAGGGCCAGGTCTCTTCTTTCTCTTACTTCAGGCCTCCACCTTGTTGTGTTGTATCAGTTTTAAGCTCATAGAATTGTGCCTGCAAGCATGATATTCTGCCCCAACAAGACATGGGTCCAATTAGGAAACTCTCAAATAGGAAATGTACATTTTCCTCAATTTTTGTTCAACCCAATTTCACATGCCTTTTGTAATAATATTAAACACATACACACAATGCTCTATTGACATTTGGAAAAAATGGCAGAAAAAATACTGTTCACCACTAATGCCAATGAAGTATTATTCTAAAGCTTATGACCACTCTATTAAGAATACATTATTTTGACAACCAAAGGGTTATTGTTTGAAATATTTTTACCAAAATTCATGCCCAATCTCAAGAAAGCAATTAACCTTGGCATTAAGGAACCTTACCTGTAAGATGGCTTCACGTTTATCAACTTTTAGATCTATTGCAAGACCCTGTAGTCCACTCTCATGCCACTCATCTGTTCTCCTAATGGAAAGGTATTTGTGGTAGCAATGTTTAAGAGCTTACTGAATTTGTATTATGAGATTTTAGCCAAGTATAAAATCTAATTGGGAGATGAACCTGAGGGAAACCAAAGATGAAACTACCTGGTCAGGAATGTGGGGGGAAGGCCCCTTTAAATCTAACACTGTTCTTACAAGGGAACAGGCATTAAAAATAGCTCATAAATGGTATTTTACACTGGTCAATTTTTCCGGTATTTCTTTGGAGTCCTACCATTTGTGCTGGAGAGAATACGGTCAATGGGGCACATATGTGGTGGGAATGTCCAAAACAACAAATATGGTTTGAGATATAAGTAGACATTTTAAAAATGATTAAAGACCATATTCAGTTTTCTCCAAAACTTGCTTTACTCTGGATATTTGAAGGAATAAATGAGGACATTAAATCCAAAGAACTGCATACCTTCCTGATTTCTTGCAGCAAGACTGTCTAACTCAATGCTGGAAGACACTTTTGATTTCAGTATTACAAACTAGTGGAATAAGATTTGGAATTTTGCTCTTCAGGAAAATAATAATAATTTAATAACAATAGTTTTATTATTTATACCCTGCCCATCTGGCTGGGTTTTCCCAGCCACTCTAGGTGGATTCCATCACATATAAGAACAAAAGATGTCAAACGTTTCAAAAAAGCCGAGACGGCATTTCAGATTCCTAAAGGGAAAGGCAGAACCAGACTCCTTCATGACAGTCTGGTGGGGAATTTTTAGACTTTGTTAAAACCCATCAAATACATCCACCTGTTCCTTCGGTATTTACGGACCTCTAGGTCAAGTAACTTGCTCCCTACTCACCTTGGCTGGAAGAAACGCAACTATAATCCTTCTCCTCAACATAATCCTTGGACCCTCAACTTCTTAGTTGTCAGCTTAACCATACTGATCCTTTATATAATAGTATAGCAATATTATGAACAATTGTTATTGCCCTATGCCTCATGTTTGTTTTTCTGTTAATGTATATGCAGAGTATTAGTTTTGAAACTTAATAAATAAAAAAGAACTTTTCTTGGAAAAGCTTTCCTTGGAAAACAGTGCCCACTGTCACCATGCAATTCTTTTGTAGCCAGAGGAGCTGGTCATGTCATTCCAGTTCTTTTTCCATTGCTACCTCTACACAGTCCCGACTCTGATAAGTGTACCTGCATTATATATCTGTTTTCAAGCAGCTCCCCATTAATGCTTTATATTTTTAGTTGTGCATTTTCTTTTTTAAAGTGATGAGTTGTGAAAGTGGTTTGTGTCACAGTGTTTTGCCCTAGAATCTGACCCTATTAGAATATTGCTTTGATGTGGACGCTGGTGCACGTTCTCAGATTAGCACCCCATGCTCCAAGCATAGCCTAAGTCCCACTGCCTCACTGAATCCCTGAGGCACTTGGGACTGCTATTACTGATACAGATTTAATAACACTGCAGTTCATTACATGGTCACAGGTTATTAAACAGAGAACACTGAGGAATTAGATTTCAAGACTTTAATAATGCTCCAAATGATAGATGTAAACCATAAAATAAGCTGTAATACAATATTCCCTCATCTTGCATGGTACTCGGATCCAAGGGTTTCACGCAGTGCTATGTTTCTAGAAAAAGAGGTGCTGGAACTCACCACGAATGCCTCCCTTGTTCTCCTATAATGGCAGTGCTGCCCACCTGAGAGGCGCCGGAACTGAGTTCTGGCTGAAAGAAAGCCCTGGTTACATCAAGCCCATGGCTTGCGAGTAAGGAGGTAGGGAGAGAGCATCCCCAGCACTCCCAGATCTGGCACGTTGAGTGGGCCTTGCTCCGCAAGCAAAGCATAGAGCTTTAAAACTTTTTTCACACTGGGTTGCCAAAGCAGACCTGGTGCTAAAATAGCTTTTAAGATCTCCGCCTTGCTTGGGGAGCAAGGACTGCTTGGTGTGCTGGCATGAGATCACCCCCAAAAGTCACATTGTCCCATGAGATCTTGTGAGAGTATTCCAAAGTTGGTGTGCCAAGTGGACCCAATTCAGAGAGATCTTTTAAGCTACCTGCCTTCCTTTGAACTTCCGGTCTGCCTTCAACATGGTATTGTTGAGATCGCCTGAGTCAAATGCAAGTAAGGTGAAGGATTACTGTTCTTGGATTTCTCAGTTAAACAGAACTTCCCCCTTATCCCTTTGGGGTTTCGAGTGGAACATTGCACATGCAGGAACAGTTTTTCCAGGCCTGCACTTGAGTCCATGCCTTCCTGTCTCACCTGCAGGATACTGTCCTAGGTGTGGGGTTACTGTCTGTGGAGGACACTGCTCTCAGCTGTTGGTAGAGCAGAGTGTTAAAGCAATACATTTTGGCCAAGACACAGTATTCACATATAGCACAGTGTTGAAAAGTAAGTGGTATGTGTGCACACACAAGTGCATGCCTCTCTCTCTCTCTCTCTGTGTGTGTGTGTGTGTGTGTGTGTGTGTGTATAGGCAACTCCCATTCACGGGTGTTCAGGGCACATGCAACTGCCCACGGGGGCAGCTGCAGAAACAATACCTTGAGGCATGGTTGCTGCCTTTCTTTGTTTACCTCTATGGGGTACTTTCTTCCAGTTGTGGAGGTGGAGTGGGAGTTGCTGTTGAATATTTGTGTCTAGAGTTCCAAGGCAAGGTACAAGTCTGGGTTCTAGTTAAAGGAGTGTTAGCTATGTGCTCTGACAGGCTGCTTTGTGCAGAGTGCCCTTTCTCCCTACATACCATCACCCTTGGGTGTTCTAAGTGTGCACACCCTGAGGCAAGAAAGTAATAGCTCCAGCACTTGAGTTATCTCCCTCTGTGGGGTTCATAGGCTGTTGGTGGTATGTTGTAACTGGGTGCTGGTTTGCATCATATTTTACTGCATCATGAGGGTGGCTTGAGGTGTAGGGGTGGGCAGAGTTTTTTTGTTTTGTTTTTCTCTCTACCGAGTTTTTTAAAATAAATTATTTAAAGTGTATCTCATCTTCTACTGCCATGGCAGGGGGGCGGAAAGAGGTTTCTACCATATCCAGGAGATCATGAGTACAGAATTGCAATCGTAAAATCCCAAAAAAAATTTCATCATCCTCTAGAAATCTGCATTTTGCTCCAGCTTGAATTACATCCATGCTGGAGAGGCAGAACACAACCAGCATCAGGCTTACACAAGTTCACAGATGGAACCATGTCCTCGACTCAAACGTCACTATACATTGGACACTTGCCCAGAGCTTCCAGTGCTATTGTTCTGGATCCACCTAACACTAAATCGAAGCAAACATAGGGTGAATAGTTCATAGGGGAAAAAGAAAATTGTTCAGTTAACTTTTCTACCTCTGCTTACATACAGGAGAAACCTAGATGAATATTAATATGAAAACTGAGTGACGGGTAACCCCGTCCGCAAAAAAAGGTGGTGTCTGAGTGTAGATTGTGGAGTAGGTCACACGTAGCCTTTTCTCCAAAGCTTTGGTGCAGGCTGAATTAAATGCAAGCTTATTTTCTGGTTTCCATATCCATTTTCTTTTCTTGTCCTTCTTTCTGAAGCCGGCATGGTAGGCACCAGCAGCACAGAAGTTGTGGATGTGGGAACCTCTTGCATCACTGCACATCCTTCACCTTGGTAAGTAGGCCTGGGATGATTGCATGGTAGAAGAGAGTGGTCGCTTTGTGGGGCAGAAGCCAGGGTGTCTTTATAATAGGAACAGTTGTATATAGCCTTTAACAAAGCTGTTCTGATAGTCCCTAATCCTTGCTCTCCTTTGCTAGAGTGCATTGGCTGTTCTTGCTGTGGAGTTGGTGAAGCATGTTCGAAGGCTGAGCTCTGTGCAACCAGGTGGAGGAGATGTTGGGTTTTACCAATTGGAGGGTCATCTTGCTGTTTTGCCCCAAAGTCAACATTCAGGTAAGCTTGCTAGGGAATAGCACAGTTGAGTCTAGAGCATCATGTGCTGGGAAGAATACACTGCGCGCGCACACACACACACACACACACACACACTCTTCAGCTATATGTAATGCACTTGAAACTCCAGCAGCAAAATTGTATCAGAATTGTAAAGACTCCTAGATGTTTGAAGATCTCTCTTTGTAAAATAGGGATTGAGACAGCATCCTATGTACTTTTAATATGTTTCCTCTCCTTCAGTCCCTCCCACAGCCCCTTCTGCTTGCTCCAGTGAGAAAGAGGAACAACATTTCTTCGTGGGAGACGACTCCAGCTATGCACCAAAGAATCCATCTAGCAAAACTTCAAAGCCAAAACAATATCAACATGTTTCAGAAACAGGTACGAATCTTGATTTTAGAATGCAAAGACACATCAGAATGCATGGGGTAGTGGCCAGCTGCAAACGAGGACAGGGAAATCAGCAAGGTCTGTGCAAGCAGCCTGTTCTGAGGCAGAAGCCTGGAGAGAATTTGTCTTGGGACATGGTTGCCTGAGATGTCTCTGGTTAAACAGGAGATTCTCTTGTGGGCTTTCCAATCAGTAGCTGCTTTATGGAACTTTCCAGTCAAGCACCTTGTGTTTCAAAAGCATTTGTTCTTATTTGGGTTGTTAAATAATGGGGAAGACAGGTTAGAATGAATATATCACCCTTATTTTCATACTTTTAATGAAAGGAGAAAGTGGGACTTAGAAATGTCTGTAAAAAGAGAAAGTTTAAAGTCTTGTTGAAACAAATTGATGAGCAATATAGTCATCAATAAATTATTAGTAACCCAAATAGCTGCAATTTAAGAAGAAAATTTGTTTACATTAATTACCTTCTGGCCATAGGTGAATGGGAATGTTAAAATATGTTTGGGGTTCTTGTAATCAACAGGTATTTGGGTCATTACAGAATCTCTACAGTCCAGTAGAGAGAGTGAGTATAGCCTTGTGGCTAATGTGAGAGAAGTCCTGCTTCTATGAAGTTGCCTTACAGATTCAAGCCATTTAGCCCAGTACTGTCTTCTCCAGGTGGCAACTGTTTTCCAAGGTTCCTGCAATAGCAATTCCCAGCCCTCCTCTAAGATCCAGGGGTTGAACCTGGGACTGCTATATGCAAAGCACATGTTCTTGCACTAAGGTAATGTGGAGGCACAGGAGCGTGCCCATCTAATCACACAACTGCTAATAAGGAACCCCCTTATTAACCACAGGTTTTGTCTCAGTCTGGTGAGTTTTTGTGGAGACAGGCAGCAGTATAGGCCTAGGTATAGTGCTGTACCTGACTGGGCGCTCCTGCTTCTGTCCAGATGTGTCACAGATTCTTGGTCCTTATTCCACTTTCGTGATCTGTGCCACAGGTTGCTACCCATGCTGTGCAAAGAACGGCTCTGGCCAAATTATTTATTTGACTGAGTTCTCAAAGATGAGGTGGGTTACTGTTGAGTCAGAATAGACCCATTTCAATTCATGGATATGGTTGAGTTAAGCCTGTTAATTTCAGTAGGTTTACTCTGAGTAAAACTTAGTTGAAGGGACGTAGAAGAGAGCTGTCTGCTGTAAGGCATATCACAAAATATTGTTGATTTAACAGAAGAGTAGGAGAGGAAGCTGCAACTTCCAGATCTGTGCAACCAGAACTATGGCAGGGAAGGCAACTCTGTGTTGAGACCCAAACTGTCATTGCCTTACCTTTTTTTGTTTTTTTTGCAGGGGACATCCTCTTCCTATCCAGCACAGGTTCTGAACCAGACTCGTGCCTATTACGCTTGCAGGTAATGCCTCTTTTCTTTTTGTGGGACTTGGCTTTTAGCATGAATTTAGCTCAGAATTTCTGAAGTATGAGTTAATGAGCTAGGGAAGGGTCTTTAATTTTTCGAAAGCATGAACACACTCTCTGCATAACCTTGATACCACTTGCCGTATTAGTATCATGTGGATTTCATGTACATTTGGTATACTTCAGGGACATCCGTGATAGCTTTGAGACCAACTAAATTCAGGGTAGAAGCAGAGGCACATATTTTAATGTTTGTTTTGGAACTCCTATCTTGACATGATTGTACAATGAGAGTAAGAAATGAATATGCCTATGTAGATTGAGCTATAAGGCACCACAGTCTTGGGCCATGTTCACTAGCACTATCCCAGGTGAAGAATCTTGGTTTGTTTACTGAAGTGGTATCATCCATGTTTCCTTCTGTTACCCAGAATTTGCAGGTGTACGTTGTCTCTTGAAATCTGCCAAACATTGAGGTTCTAGCAAGACAGCTCACTTAATGCATACTGTATACATTGACATAAAAAGTGTTTAAAGATTTTGGGTTGACTCATCTGACAACGGTTGGTTGATGTCACAAAATGTGCATGTTCCAACTGTTCAGGGGATAAAGCCGCTAGCAACAGAATGTTCTACAGCTTCTGTGAAAGAAGAAGAAAATACCAATTTTGGCTGGGATTAAAATTCCTATGCCTTCCCCATTCTGGCACTCTCCAGATGGTTTGGACTTCAGTGTCCATCAGCCCCAGCCAGCATGGTCCATGGTCCAAGATGATGGAAGTTTTAGTCTAAAACATGTGAAGGGCACCACATTGGGGAAGGCTGCCCAGGAACAGTGAGGAGAGGTTCAGAATGGAGCAGAGCCTCAGAAGGAGGCAGAGTAGTTAGTGCAGGCTTCCTCAACCTCGGCCCTCCAGATGTTTTGAGACTACAATTCCCATCATCCCTGACCACTGGTCCTGCTAGGTAGGGATCATGGGAGTTGTAGGCCAAAAACATCTGGAGGGCCGAGTTTGAGGAAGCCTGAGTTAGTGTGATGAGATATAGGAACCTGTCAGATGGTGGTGTGGTTGCTCGAGAGCAAACAGGCAAGACTCCGACCTGTCTTTTCCAGGCTTTATTCTTAGTGCAAAACTATTTACAGTGAAGAGCATCGCAAGTTCATGTCTGGCTCAGTCACTAGCAGAATCTGGAGGTTGGTCCTGTACTCCCCCAGCATAAAGTCGTTGACCAACCTTCCCTCCCTCCTGCCGAAACTACTGCGCAGAGTAGAAGGGTACTTCCTCCTCTCCGCTTGCCAGGTGGTGTGAGCTCTCCTAGCATCCTGGAACCGACTCCCCCCAGGTGAGGAGGACTGAAGACTTCGAGGTCCTATAACACAACTCCTCCACTCTCCGCTGAGCTTGATTTCCTGACAGAACCCAAGGGAAGGATAGGTGAAAGAGACAGAAGCCTTTAAAAAAGCAGGACAGAGAAGACCAAGTGGTTTCTGATAAGAAGGTGGAAAGCTCACATGGCTGTACAGATAGAAGAAGAAGCTATTGGTAATAGCAGGAAGTAGGTTTGTCCAGGTAAGGAGAATAGCTAACAGAGAGTGGTGGTGTCCCAGCTAAGTGGTATCCAGTAGATGCGGGCTGAAAAACAGAGACTTGGGGAAATGATAGTGTCACAACCCAGATTGGGGATGGAACTGGATAGTGAACTTTAAACAACAGCCTTGCTGTGTCTGCCATGTTGTTCAGGCCTGAGACACATGGTTTGGGAATTTTCCACCTCGTGTCTATATTTACTAGGATTTCCAGTTTTACTAAAATCATGTTTAAAGATACAAGTTGCATTTTAATCATGACTGTAGAAGTTTGGATTGATGAAAGAGGCAAAGAGAGTAAGGCTGGGGCAAGAGCTCACACAGTGCTGTGGCTGCGTACTCTTGAATTCAGGTTGTTGTCATTATTATTATTATTATTATTATTATTATTATTATTATTATTTCCTGCAACATGTTGCACTCAAAATACAATACAAAGGGAAAATACGGGCAATGACCGATTAACACACATCTGAATGATGCACAATCATGCACATGTGAACGACGCCAAACCTGGAAGTGACCCCAAAAGTCTCTAAACAATTCACTAAAAGGGCAGAATGGGGGCAGGGCAGGGTGGAACAGGGGGGCGCTTACCTGCACTCCACCGGTGCTCACAGGGGCCAGGGATGGGTGGGTAATTTCTGGGTCCAAACCTGGAAGCGCACTTTTCATGCCAGAGAGCTGCATTCACATCTTTTGTATTATTATCAAGCCAGGCTTTATAGCTTCTGATACAAAAGCATTTTTAATTTTCCATAAGGAAGGACTGACCCATCTTGCTTTCTGGCAAGAGTCCTTCCTGCCTCTTAATCCTGACAAGATGAAGAGTATCCTGTAATATATACTTCTGCCATCTGATGGCACCAAATCATTCCAGTACTGAAATTGCTGACTCCGTAGATTTGCTAAAGATTCACTGAAAAAATAAAACACTTACTTGGCTTCAGTAAAATTAGCATGTGCTAACTTTCTGAACTTTCTGAAATCTTCTTTTAAAGTGTTGACTTTAATGTCAAGAAATAAGGGATATACCGAAGAGTTAAGAGGGCAAAAAATCATTGTGTATACTTCACCTAAAAAGCCCTCTAATCATCTGACACGAAGTGAAATGGCTATGTTGTATCTGATGATAAGAGATTCTCCAAATGTTCATTGCTAGTACCAGATTGAGAGCGGCTGGACTCAGTGAACCCTGTGATCAGGCAGAGCTGCTCTTGCTATAGCTGCATGTAAAGTCTTGAGTGCCAGTAAGTCATGAGTGCCACAGCTGTCAGGCTGAAAGAGAAGGGAATAGTGTTAAAGGTGGAACTGCCTGGACCATCTCCCCACTAATGTGGTTTTCCAGGGCTTGGGAAGAGGTTTCCCTCACTCCCCCCCCCCCCGGTCACCTGATTTCTGTGACATGTTCCAAGTCTTCTCTTAGTAGATCCAGGGCATCCAGTAGTATAATCAGTGACTTAAGAGTTGTTAGGACACCCCTGGGAAGAGGGATTGATTGATGAACCACCGTGAGGGGAATAGAAGTCTCCTAGCAACTCTCAGCACCCTTAATGAACTATAGTTCCCAAGAATCTTTGAGGGAAATTCCTCCAGGGAATCTTGACTAAACACCCCAGATACAAAATTAGTTTGATCAAGACTTACAAGAAAGGGACATTTGTTTAAATGCAGGTCAGTTAACGCACAGACATGCAACCACAATTCAGTTCTGAAGCAAACTCCAAGAGCATTTTCTTCTACTACTGCAAATTTAGCATGCATTCTAGAAAAGTAGTACAGTTTATGTGTGTAAGCAATACAGTTCTGTTCTACAATAACTGTGCAACAAACATGTAATATGATAAAGAAGGAATCTGTTCTGAAGAGATGGAGAATATGATTTAAAATGCATCATTTTGAGCTTTGGCATGTAGCCATTAAAAGTGCGGCCGTATGTCATGAGATACATCTGAATGTATCTAAATTTCCAATTGAAAGAAAGGATAATGGCAATTTTGGATATTTTGAACTGATCTCTTACACTATATTTCTGTTGAGTTTTGAGTTCCCTCTTTCCATCTGGGGCCTATTCACATGGAGTTGGTATATTAGATTATTTGTAAAGAGTACCAAATTCACAGCCAGGATAGCATATTTCATGTCACCAAGGTCTGCAGTCCAAAGCAGTGTGAAAATGCAAGGACAGCCACTTGTGACATTTGTCAGTTCGCACCTCTGAACTGCGGGGTCACTGCTATGGCAACATTCTGACCAGCAGTTTCCCAAAGCCCAGTGACAAGTCTACACTTCAGGAAATGACTCCACCTGTCCAGTCTCCTGCTGGAGGATATGGTTGTCAGTATATTAATCTCGATATTCTCAGCAGTGGTAGGAAATCAGACTTTGTGTTCAACCCAAGTGGGAGAATGAAATCGTTTTTATCTGTCCACTTGCAAATTCCCGCAGTTGCTCCAGAAAACCATCCACTTCTTCCTCTCTTATTTTCGTGATCCTTCGGTTAAGAGCCATTAGGAAAGGACAGTCTTTTAATTCTCACTCCAAATGTCTGGTGACTGTAGGATTGCCACACAGTATGAGCATTTCTTTGGTACAGAACCTGGAACTAGCCCCAAAACATCATAAAGATGTCACAGAAGGGGCGGAATGTGCGGGTTTGGAACATAACGCCCGCACAAAATGCGGATTTCCTATATGTGAAATTGCATATAATGGGGAGCACCATCTAAAAAGCCAAACTCTGCCCCAAATCCACCAAACTCCATCACAATCATTTCTTCCAAACCTCCTTTCTCAAACGCATGTAGGTGGAGAAGATGCCTGTAATGTGAAAGCTAGTGCAAAGAGAGGATTGTCCACAGATGGGCAACCTATACACGGTTTTCATTTTTGCCTCTCCTGTGCAGGGTAATCTGGAAGAGGAGTCATCTGTTGGTGAAGCTGCTTCTCAAGTGCACCAGGTGTTTCAAGCCAGCATTTCCGTGGCATCAAACATCCTTGGTAACAGCTTATAGAGTTACTTATCCAGTCTTCGTCAGGCAGGGGCTTCTGTCTTCAACTGTGTCATAGACCTGACAGAGACACTAGAGGTTTAAGCCACTCACTTGTGTTAAAAAGGGCAGTGACTCAGGCCCAGAGAAAGGACTTATCTAGCACAGCGTTCTGTAGGTCCCTTTCCTTTCAGTTTTATGCAGTTTACTCAACCCCCTAAGTATTCTGCATAGGTTTATCTTGTAACATTTGCTGGGAGAGTAGTGCTGTTTGTTCTGGGATGCAGCAAAAACTCCCTCTTTGCCCCCCCTTTTTATATGGCTAAACCTTTCCTTGGTCTTTGGTTAAATCACCTTGGCTTGCTCCATTCTCTTGGATGACCCAGTCTAACTTTGTATAAGCCAGTTATCTTCTATATTTGGAAGAATGTCTGCTGTATCATATGCTACCATTGATATGCTTGGACATTGGAGTTATAAGGAGAGAGGAGTAGAGTCTCAGGGATCAACCTTTGGTCTTTGCCACTCAGTGGGGATGGAATAAAGGATTCCTAGGCTCCAATTCGGCCATGACTACTTGTGAGTGCTGAAGGAAGCGGGGTGCCTCTGTGGTAGAGGTGGCTAACCTGCAGCCTGCAGATCATACACAGCCCTCCCTAAAAAGTTTTCTGTGGCCCCTGAAGACTCCCCACCCCAAAGGTTTTGGTTTTTACTTAAACTGATCTGAACTGTTCCTGAACTGTCTGCTGTGTTCATGAAATTCCCAAAATTATATTTGGTCTTCCTATTGCTTCTGCAGTCCTTCCATAGAATAGCTGGCTCCATATGCTGAGGGTTTCCACAGTGCACAGTAGTCTTGGTTAGCTTTCAGAAACTCTTTCCTACTGATGGCTGCCCAAGAGAGACTTCTACTACTGTTCTCAGTAATAACTGAACTGCCTGTTCTCCTGGATCATCTCTTTTTGGCAGCCATTGGTGACAGCTGATTGCTGCGCTTTAGAGCCAGCAGGCGAAGGGCTCATCCAGACTTTTTGTGCCACACTTTCTAGGCACAGGTCTGCGCTTTAAAGTGCTGTGTCCAAGTACCCCTCCCCCCGCCCCGGTACTTTCCCCATGAAAACCCACCCTTAAGCTGAATCAGAGCAAACAGCAATCCGCAGAAAACTCAAAATTGCCATTTGTTCTGCTTCAGCGTTAAAAGAGCAGGTTTCCGCAGGAAAAGCACTGGGGGGGGGGGGGAGTGCTCAGACCTGGCACTTTAAAGCACAGACCTTCCTCTAGGAAGTGCAGCACAGAAGGAAGTGTGAATGAGCCCTGAGCATCACAGCAGCAGGGAGAAACTCAAAAATCCTTCTGATGAGTCTTAAAATACAGTGGGAGCTTGAAATAATAACAAAGACAGTTAACATGCTGGGCTGGGCTGGGGAGGGAATGAATTAATTAAAAACCATGATTTATAAACCTTTATACAGTTTTTTTTGTGGGGAGGGGTTGCGGGGAAGAGGAGATGGAAGAATTAATAATGTGATTTGCACTGTCTTGAGGGGGGAAATGAATTAATTGGATGAAATGAATTAATTGCACTATCTTGAGGGAGAAATTGATTTATAAGAGTGGAAATAATAATTAATAATTTTTCGCACGCTGTCCCGGGGGTGGGTGGGGATAATTTGTGCACTTTGGATTCAGTCGTGGCCATTTTTGTGTGCAGTGCCGGATGGGTGGCCATGGGGGGGGTAGGGAAGACCTGGGAAAAAGGTTCACCATCACGGCTCAATGGTTTGTGGCAATGATAGAGAGCATGTGTTGAATCTAGAAAGTCTCAGGTTCATTCCTCAGCAACCTACGTTTTTAAAGGGTCTCAAGTTAGAAGGCATGGGGGGGGGTTTCTCGCAATGAAAACTGCTGTTGTTGAGAGTAGATGCTGAGCCTAGAGGTACCAAAGGTGTGACTTCATACGAAAGAGCTTCATAGGAGCTGTGCTTTAAGGTAGTTTCTTTCCATGTGTGCCTGGGTACATGAAATGACATGTGAAATATTTCCCATTTAAGTAAGAAAAAGCATTCATCCCGTGATGACTAGATAAGTAGGTGAGAGTGTGGTGCATTTGAACATTTTTTCACCACAGTCCTTTTTTTGCAACAGCATCCTATTTCACTATTGTCATGTCCTGCCTAGTTAAATAAGATTAAAGGAAGACTTTGCAGAAGTTACATGACCAGCTGCTTGCTGCGTAACTGTGTCCAATTTTATGACCCGTGCCACCTTAAGTACCTGACTATGTACTGTTTTCTGTGTTTTTAGCTGTAAAACAGAGATAGTAGGACTTGCTGGATGTAGTGTAGTGCAGTGGGAACTTGTCTGAAAATGAATTTGAAGGTGCGTAACAGGAGGTACTGGAATCAGTACATTTTATATTGAATTGCCACTGCCTGCCTCATCTTCACTGCAGGATAGCCGCTGAATTAGCGAATAGTTTGAAGTATAAGTGTCCTCCTGAGGGTATTCTCTCTTTGATAATAGGTGCAACCACCATCTCAGGTTAGAATTTAGACCACTGTTTTTACATTAATTTCCCAGGGCTTGAGAACATGCATGACAAGCAGTGGAAAACGGCCTTTTCCTGCTTCAAGCTGGCTGCAGATCAGAACCACAGCAAAGCCCAGTTTAATGTGGGATTGTGCTACGAACACGGAAGAGGCACCAAGAAGAACGTGGCCAAGGTCCTCTATTCCCATTTGCTTCTTGGCTTGTGTGTTGCTGCCGTGCACAAGTGGGTAGGAGAGTGTGGGGCAACTTCAGTGTGTGCCATATGTGTTGGGAGACATAATTTGTTTCTCTTTCTGAGTCACAAGCTTTAGTCACCAGAGACCTGCAGTGGGATACTTGCTGCAGTTCATCACACACATTGGATTTGTATGTGAAAGTTCCCAGAGTCAATCCCCAGCATCTTCAGGTAGGGCTGGGAATGCTCCCTGCCTGAAACCCCTGAATTCAGCTTCCGGTCATTGTAGGGAATGCTCAGGTGGATGGTCTGACTCAGTAGAAGGCAGCTTCCTGTGTCCCTTTCTCAGATTTTCCCTGATAGTCTTCCCAGCTGATCCCAAGAGAGCATGGCTATCCCTCTAACACTCACTGTCATAAGAAACTAGCAACAAAACAGCTTTATATGCAACGGCAGGCTAGAGTGGAGCATTTGCCCTAACGATGGATGTGGGGGTAGGGGGCAGCCACTCCAAATGCAGCGGTGACCCAGTTCATCTCCTGCTCCAGGCTGCCTGAGCTTCCTTTGTTTTTGCGTCCTTGCTCAAAGGGAGGTCAGGCTCTAGGCAGGAAATATCGGTCCTCCAAGTTGCTCCTTTTCCAAGTGTTCCAGTACAAGAGAAACTCATTTATTCAGTTATGAAGAATCTTCCATTATGCTGACACTCAAAGAGAACCTCAGTAGAGGTACTTAATGTCCACATTATAGAAGAGCCTCCAGTTGCATTATGCAACTTGTGCCTGCAGCTTAGTCGAAAACTAGGTGTAAGGAGCCAATGTTTTCACACAAGAGAGCTAAAACATTCAGCAAGAGAGAGAAAGAGGTCAGGGCTGTCCGAAGGAGTCTCCAGCTGCTACCCCCTCCTTCCCCAGGCAGGTATTCCACTTTGTAGTAGTTCTTCCTTGCGGTGGGGTTGGGGCTAACATGCCAGGCCCCTTTCCTGCCAATCATGTGTGGGACTGAAGCCAGAAGGGAGGAACACTTGCTTGTCTGGCAGGAGCACAGTTTATCGGATGTGTAGTAGTGTCCCTGTTCTCTGTTCTAGGCAGTCTTCTACTACCAGCGGGCTGCTCGCCAGGGACACCCCATGGCCCAGCACTGCTACACTCAGTGTCTCCTCCGCCACTGCCCAAGAGCAGACAAGAAGGAAAATGTGCAGGAAGCCATGGGTTTGTTGGACGAAGGCGCTGCTGCTGGGCTGACAGAGGTGAACATCAGCTTGGAGAGTTATGGCGTACTGTTCAGAAGTAGAAGTAGCCTGTTCATGGGTGACATGAGAATCCCTTTCTTTTGCTCTTTACAGTTTAGCTGTTTGGCCTGCTTAGGTGAAGAGGTGCTCACCTGGCTCAGTCAAGGCATTTTACCGCAGGCTGTGCAACTATCCACTCCTCTTGCTTTCCATCTGGCCGCAAACACAAGATCCATGAGCTGCTATGCCTGTTTTTGCTAGGTTTTGTTTGTTCCCTGATAGCTATTCTTCAGTTCACTAAAACAAATGGCAGCCCAGTATCTGCCACAATCTAGGTATTTTTAAAGTGAACATAAGCCTTGGCAGCTGGGCTTTTCTTTTTAATTATGCATAGTGATAGATCTGGCTTTGGAGAATTTGCAGTTTTTTAAAAGGCAGTGCATGTGGAAAGGCCCAGGGCCGTGTTTGCAGCTTAAACAGTCTTTTGCCTTGAATTGGATGGTTCTAAAATAATAATATACTGCATTTCAGGTGCATTGGAGTGGATGATTAATGCTCTTTATACACATGTACTTGCATGTAGGATTCCTCAAGCAGCTTTCATTTGTGTGTTTGCTATGAAAAGGGCACTGGAGTCTCCCAGAACTCACCGACAGCAAGACAGCGGTACCAGGAAGCAGCAGCTGCCGGCTCCAAGGCTGCACAGGAGAGAATCAAAGTAATGGCACAGGAAGAGATAGCAGGTACTGAGTTGGGGGGGCGCAGAATGGTGTGGAAATGGTGCTTACTGGAGAATGAATGAAATGTTGGCTACTGCAGTTGTGATAATGATGTGATATTCTCTCTCACTTAGCTACACAGATCCGGGACCAGTCACCACTGGCAACAAAAACCTCTTCATCCAGCCCTTGTCTTCAGCTCCTGGATCAGCTGCCGGCTTCTCACTTTGGACAGCCAGCTTTTGGCCTGCTTCACTCCTGGAGCACAGGAAGCCTTAGGGATGCGGCAAATAGCTCTGCAAACTGCATGCCTGCCACAGCTTTCCCAGATAACCTCAAGCTACAGTCCTTAGCGTGGTCTTCAGGAGTAGCAGTTGGATAACATGGCTAAGGAGAAACTTTCTGCTTTAGATGGTGGCTGTGTTACTGGCTGCCACAGTGATCCTTTTAAGAGGCAAATCACATGGGCATAGCTGGCACCTGTTTCCGTCTCTTCCTAAATGTATAACTTCTTATTTGACAGTTTGCCCGTAGCATAAAGAATGATACAGTGGAGGCTATCCATCTAGGCAGCATCTGATTGTGAATGGAGTCAGGATACAGGGCTCCTTCTGAGTGACCCTTGCACCATGGAAGCAAATGTTGCATCCGCAAAATGAACACGGGGAGCCTATAGACTGCAGTTTTGAGGGCCAAGTCTTGAAGCACTTGGTGCTGAAGTTAAGCAGATGTGGACTTGCACATCCCATGTAAAAAGGGGATACAATCATAAATGGTTTCTGAAAATCAGACAAGCGATTTCACACTGTAGTCAGAAATTGGGGAAGGAGTCTGCCCTAGTCTTCTTTCTCTAAAAGATTTGAGCTTACTGAATTTGTTAATTGCACAAGGAATTCTGCTGATTCTCCCCTGCATTTCAGAAAGGAAAGGAGATTTTTAGCCACGTTTCAGAATCTTAAGGGAGCGAAAGGACCTTCTCTCTAATGGGAAGGAAATTTTAATGCAATAGAATAAAAACAGGAAGTGGAGTTTGGGAGGTAGACTGAATAATTCAAAGAACAGAATTTGGTTCCTGAGAGTTTTATTTTTATTATAAATAAATAACGGACTCAAGCAGCAGCTTCTAAATTTCATTGTTGTATAAAAGCCTGGTAATAGGTGAGCAGCACCTGCTGGAGACTCAGTGCCTGACGAAGAAGCAGCATTTCCTTACCTTAGCTCCTGCTCCCACTCAATTCAAAATAATTAAATAGTGGCTGGGGGGGGGGGAGGCAGGGAGCCTTATGCTCCAGTTTGCCTTTCATTGTCCCATAGAGGTATGCTGATTTCCTGCAGCAGGGATGTGGTAGGAACAAAGAGGACTGTCTGCTAGTAGCTGTTCCAGAAGAGGTGAAGGTCTCCTTGCTACTGCAGTTTCCAGTTCTGTTGCCCAAAGCACTGTCCGTTTCAGCCCCGACATCATCTCTAGTCAGATCTTGGGGCTCGCTACATTCTGAGAGTTGCTCAAGAGCCCCAATCATCAATCTACCTGGGGACTGACTTTCTGAGCCAAGATCTTCTCAAAAAGTGTATTCATCTCTGAGAGGAAGGTACTGGAGAGCCTGGGCTCTTCTGAGTTTGGCTTGTGCCCAGCTGCTTTGCCAAAGGTTGCAAAAGTGTGAGGTTCATCTCTGCCTGTGGTTTCCTCGCTCAGTGGAGACGGTACTGCCCCTGGTGAGACAATATTGTCCTTGTAGTCAGTTGAGATGGGAAAGGACAGCCTCGCCATCCACGCTGGGTCTTCCACGTTCAGCTGATCAAGATCCAGCCCTGCAGGGTGGGGAAAAGAATAAATTAGGCTTCGTTGATAAGGATAGACTCTGGGCTACACGAGTCCTGTAATTCCATGTGAGTACTGATTTCAGAACTCTGCATCATGTTAATCTCATTACTCATTTTAAAATCAAAAGCAAATTTCTACCCCTTAATGTTTCCAATGCTTTGTGGGTCGGGGGGACACCACAATAAGATTTTTGTTGTTCATCAGCGGTTGACCTAACTGCTGCCCTCTCCATTTCTAGCGGAAGCAGAATGAATTATGTACTCAGGATTTTACGCAGAGAGCCAGTATGGTATAGAGGTTAGAACAGGCATGGGCAAACCCTGGCCCTCCATATGTTTGGGACTACAATTCCCATCATCCCTGACCACAGGTCTTGTTAGCTAGGGATGATGGGAATTGTAGTCCCAAACATCTGGAGGGCCGGGGGTTTTTCCTGTGCCTGGGTTAGAGTGATGGACAGAGACTTGGGAGACCAGAGTCCAAATCCCTGAAGCTCACTGGGTGACCTTGAACGAGTCACTGCCTCTCAGCTGAACCTACCTCCCAGACTTGTTGTGGAGATTAAATGAAGAGGATGAGAACCATGTATGCTAACTTGAGCTTGGAGAAAAAGGGAGTATTTTAAATAAATAGATAAGCCTGTCTACCTCCTTCCTTGGGAGGTTGGATGACCATCTGTCATGGATGCTTTAGATGGGATTCCTGCATTGCAGGGGGTTGGGCTAGATCAGTGTTTCCCAACCTTGGGCCTCCGGCTGTTTTTGAACTACAATTCCCATCATCCCTGACCACTGGTCCTGCTAGCTAGGGATGATGGGAGTTGTAGTCCAAAAACAGCTGGAGGCCCAAGGTTGGGAAACACTGGGCTAGATGACCCTCAGGGGTCCCTTCCAACTCTATATAATTCTATTATTCTACCTTGATCACTAGGAAGTGGATCCCAGCAATGCACTACTCTTCCTGTGTCTTTTCCTAGGTAGCAATGGGTAGCATAGGTAGCATATCACAGAACAGGGATTAGAGACAGCAACGTGTCTCTAAGGGTGCCTAGTCAGCTATTACATGATGGGCCCATGAAAGGATAAGATCAGCTAGAATACAGCTTCAGAGACTGCACCACCGAGACGGAGGAGACACGAGTGATGGTATCTCACCAGATGGGCAGTCCAGTAGGTTCCCTAGCTCCTTTCCCAGCAGCTCCCAGTCATGATGTTCACAGCCGCTGCCCTCCTTGGTGATGAGATCCTCAACATTTGAATTGGGGTTCCTGTGGAAAAGGAGAAGCATCTTAAGTGATTGGGTCTTCACCCAACCCAGGGTGCCTGCCCCTTCCATTGTCCTCAGTCTGTGCTTTGCAGAGATCCCACAGTAACAAGCCTAAGGGGATATGCCCAACAGCAGCAGTGGATAAGAGAGAACTTGCATTAATGGTTAATAAACAAAACCACAGTACTATGCCTTATAAAACCTTCATTATAAGAGAAGCATTAGACATTCAGTTCTTTATACATTCAGCACATTATCAGTCGACTCTTTTAAAAAATGTAGGAACTGGCTACACCTCTACTGAAGACTTCCTCTCAGCAAAAGTGCCTGGCTCTTTAAAGGTAAAGGTACCCCTGACCGTTAGGTCCAGTCACGGATGACTCTGGGGTTGCGTGCTCATCTTGCTTTATAGGCCAAGGGAGCCGGCATTTGTCCGCAGTTAGCTTCCGGGTCATGTGGCCAGCATTACTAAGCCGCTTCTGGTGAACCAGAGCAGCGCACTGAAATGGTGTTTACCTTCCCACCAGAGTGGTACCTATTTATCTACTTGCACTTGACATGCTTTCGAACTGCTAGGTTGGCAGGAGCTGGGACCAAACAACGGGAGCTCACCCCATCACAGGGATTCGAACCGCTGACCTTCTGATCGGCAAGTCCTAGGCTCTGTGGTTTAGACCACAGCGCCACCTTCATCCCTTATCTTTAAAGGTACAGGACCTATTAAACAGTGGGCAAACCTAACACCTGTGATAGGGAGACAAGTTTCTAGAGGACATGAGGGATAGGCCAGTCATTTCCAGTGAAGGAGAAAAGCTGCTTTACAAGGCTGGGCATATAAGCTGCAGAAAACTCACCTGCAAGAAGCATTCTTGGCAGTGTACTTGTTCCCTCTGTGGTTGGGCTTTGGCTGCACTTGGCCCTGATGCAGCAGAGACAACAACTGCGAGATTTGCTGAAAGACAGGAAGAGCCGGTATCCGCATACAATCCTGACCAGAGCTGTTTCCTAACAGGATATCCCCACTCCCCTATGCTCCGCTTGGGCTATTTATAATGTCTAGGGCTCTTCCCCTCTCTGCAAGAAAACAAGCCATTTGTGTCTATCTGCATCTCTGTTTACTCACAGCAGCTACCACCCATCATGCAAAGCTGACAACCGCTGCAGCGTTACAGTGGTTTGAATGATGCTGAACTTGCCAAGCTGGACAGTTTCCTCTGAGTAATTTCTAATGCACACACTAGTCGCAAGCCTATGTAGGTTGGCACTGCTTATAAATCTAGCAACCCTGAATAGAACAGTGGAGGAACTAAATCTCACCACTGGCAGCTCAAAGATGTAGCCATGCAGTGCCACAGCTAAGTGTTTTGAAGCCTGGGCTCCCAATTCCTTTCGTCCCTCGTCTCTCTGGGATCTGTCAGTATACAGATTAAAAAGGATGATAGGTGAAGTGGCAGGAAGTTACAAAACACAAGCTGCCCCTGGACTGACTTCTGTGGAAAGTGATTTGTAAAACCTGAGCGACGTATCTGAGGCTGAAATCCTAGACACGTAATACAGAGCAATCCCCGTTACACACCATGGGACATAACTTCCAGGTAAACCTCCTGCACAGGACTGCCCTGTAAGCAACGCTGGAGGGGTAGAAATAAATCCTGCTACTTCTGTTACAAGTGTTTACTGCTCAGATAAAGAAAACACAGAAATGGGTGCAAAAATACAATTCTGCTAGATCCTACTGACTAGTTGTCATGGCTTTCTAGAACAGAAGGGCCTGTTCTTTCCTTGCCCCATCAGCCATATTTAATAGATGAACCTGTTTTACAAGGTTAGGCAAAAAGAGTAGAAGAAAACCAGCTGCCCTCAGTAAACCTATCTGGGGCTTTGTCTACCACTTTTAAAACAAAATTACTTGAATCTGAAATATAAATATAATTTATATTTATTTCAATAGCCAACTATGCATCACCACCCACAAGAGATGGATTACTATATATCCCTATTCTTTTGTACCTACCCCTTTCCCACAACCCACCCTATTCCCATCCTGAAGTCTCTTACCTGGACGGGGGCAGATTCCATGGCTAGCTGTCCTCCGGGGCCTTGCTCAGCAAGAGCTGCCAGAGAAAGCCTCACAAGGCTTCTCAAGATGTGCTGGCGACTAGGAGCCTCCTCAGGACCTGCCTTAGCCTTTTCCGACAAGTGGTCTTTAGGCCAGAAGATGGAGTCGAGCAGTTTTTTATCCGTGGGCTGCACATCCCGGGCGGTGGGGCTTCTGAACCTTTGTGCATAGCAAGGAACCTGCTCACCAAGGCTGCTGGAATTTCTCTGGTTCCTGAGGGTCCTGTACAGAGTGGGGGTCATGTGGCATGGCACCCCCAAGGCCTTAAGCCAGGCAGCTTCTGATGGATTCTCTATCTCAGCCGGAGGCTGCTGGGTATCGTCCTGCCGCAGCACAGGCACGACATAGATGTCTGCTTTCTGGATGGGTTTGGGGGGTTTCTTTGGCTGCTGTTGGCTGTAAGCCTGCTCTGCTTCCCGACAGTTATATGCCATGCTGCCGTGCTTCTCCCTTTTGCACAGGGACATAACCAACCCCAAGCCTACCAAAGAGATGGCAAGCAACCCTAGAAGACAGATCCCCGTCACCACAGAGGGGCTGAGGGGCTGGGACACCGGGAAAGAATCAGGCATGCGCTCACAATGCCTCTTGAATGTGATCTTCACCAGAAATCTGGTGGAGAGTGGCACTGGGCCTCGGTCACTCACAGATATCACCAGGTCCCATTCCCTGCCCAAAAGGCTGCTAGCATTGCTACCATTCAGATAAAGCTGCCCAGACTGGGGATCAAGGACACAGATGCCGGCTTCGTTGCCACTCAGGATGCTGTAGAGCAACGTCCCATTCAGACCGGAGTCTGCATCGGTTGCCAGTATAGTGAGCAGAAGGGGTGCATTAAGCGAGGCGGCTAGTTCAGAGCTCCCTTCTTCCTTGGGCACCAGCACATGTCCAGTGTCAGGATCCACA